TCATCCATCCCTGGACACATTCCAGGTCAGGTTGGACGGGGCTCTGAGCAACCTGAGTGGAAGATGTCCCTGCCCATGGCAGGGGGGTTGGACTAGATGACCTTTAGAGGTCCCTTCCAACCCAAACTATTCTATGATTCTACGATTCTGTGATTTTCCTGAGTAACATCTTCCTGAATGAGAGAGACCGAATGCCTTGCCTTAAGTAATACGGATTCAACTCTGGAATCACACTCCAGTGCACCCATACTTCCTCCAGCACATTGACTGCAAGGCTCTGCTTTCTTCCCTGCCTATTTCCTTCTCATGCTTGGCACCATGGATTTCCCATCACATCCACATGTTCTTTTTTTAACTTGAGGGCCTAGAAATTTCTGTCCTCCACTGCGTGCCATTGAACACTTGGTAAAACCCAGCCTACCCCTTTCATGAGCCATGTAGAGTCATGAGGATGTGCTGTATTGCTCCACAGAAGTTCCCCCTCTCCTCCCAGCTGCATCCTCTGGTGCTATTCTGGACTTTTTTTATTCTGTCCCCACTAGACAAATTCCATTTTTCCTTCCATTTTGCCCTCTTCATTTTTATTCCCAGTCAAAGACACTCTTTGCCTCTTCCTTTGTCCCCTGCTCCCCTCCTCACGTGATAGAAGAGCTGTCCCCTCCCCAGTCTGGCTGTGTTTAACTGTCTTCATTACCACGGAAGGGTGCAGGAAGAAGAAAAGAGACAGTAAATCACAGCTGAGCCCAGGTCAGTGGCCAGCAGCCTTGTCAAGGCAGATGCAGCATCTGTGACCCCATGTACCAGAGGAATTAACAGGAGGCAACCCATGGGAAGCTGGGGACAAACATCTGCAGAGGTTGTCAGGCTCCAGATGTGGCTCCAGTGTTACGCTACAGGCATTGATCAGGCAGCTGGGGAGGTGGTAAAGACACCACTGTCCTGATGCTCTGGTCCAAAAACTCTTCTCCCATCATTTTTAATCTAGAGTAATTCTTCTAATTGCCAGCCTAGGTTTATACTGATATAAAAGAGGATGCAGTCTGCACCTTTACACCACAAAAGTTCCCCCCCTCTGTTTCTCACCAGGTAATACAGGACATTATGAGGGTAGGTGCTTGAGTGAGGATTTATGGCTGAAGGAGGAATGAAAACAATTCCTGGGTCTGCTCCTGCTCCACTTGAAACCGATGAATATTTTTCCTATTGATTTCTGTGAAAGCAGAATTGGACCCATCCTCTTTTTTCTTCTGGTAAATATGCTAATAAGGGGGAAAGAATAAGTTTTAGATCTTGACCCATTGGATATGACAAGCTGGTGACACCAATTACCCTGGGGACTTCAGAGCTGTCTAAATGATGGGATCACATTTCTGCGTGGCGCCTGTACACCCAGAGCATGCTCCGATGCTGTCTCTCAGTCAGCCTCCCTATCTGTGTCTCTCCCTATCTGCTTCATCTCAGTCTCACACAAAAGGGAAGGAAGGGAGCAGCAAGGCTGTGTGACGTTCCCTCTCCCTCGGACTGGATTAATCCACCTTGGACTGCTGGCTCTGAGATATCGGGGTGATTGGCACCTCGTAAATGCCAGTAGGAGACAGAGGGATCAATAGGGGGAGAGGGAAAGGGGGGGACGGACAGTTTTATTCAGCCCAAACTGAAGTTGAAGAGCTAAGGCAAGTCAAGAGGAGGGAAGGTGAAACAGTGAAAATGCAAAAGCAGGACAGCGGTGACAGCTGATGCCACTGCCACCACCAACTTGTGCAACCTTGGGTGAATCATTTGCCCCCCTGGTCTCATTCCCCCATGTACAAATAAAGCTGATGATCCGATTTATTTATTTTCCCTTCTCCCTCAGAGACACAGCTCTCTCTTGTGCTGTCTCTCCATGGGTTTTCACACAGGGGTA